TCATATTCTGAGCCAAAAACCTTAACTTCAGTGGCACTTTAACTTCTTGTCTTGATGGTGACGGCAACGAGATGCGGTTCACAAGCGTACACTGTGACCTGTAAATTTTGGCTTGTAATTTAAGCTTTTCATCGAGCTTCTCAACAATAAAATGATGAATATATCCCTCCAATGCGTAGTTTAGGCCCTTTTGGTTACTTCTCAATGACATCTGATCGTTATGTCCCCAAAAATCATCAATTGCCTCCTGTGAAATGCCGTGTACTGTGACACCTGCCATAGCGCCGGTTACTGAATGTTGATAGTTTGTCCGAGTGAGTTGAGGGGGGCGTGGCTTAGCCATAGGTCAATTGGAAGGTTTATTAGCTGTACAGATATTTCTGATACAATGAGAGAGGATCAAATCTGTCTCCAGGTGAGTCCACCTGCAATGTGCTTTTAAAAATGTTTCTGAGTAACGATTCCCAAAGTGAAGAATATTCGAGGAAAGTAGCAGAAACTCAAAACTGTGCTGAGGCACATCAATGAAAAGTGGACTCAGTTTGTTTCTGCGTCTTTAAAATGGCCAAAAAATAATTTATTATAGTTACGGGGAGGTGAGAAGCTGCTGCCAACACAAACCCAGTGTGTGTGTTAATGTGTGTGTGAGTGTGTTAATGCGTGTGTGAGTGTGTGTTGATGATATCAGGTTTATTAGTGTCAGGGGTCATGAAGGACAAGCAGGGCCATCCTATAGCAGGAAACACTGAGTGTGGAGAAAGGAAGATCTTTGTGTGTGTGTGTGTGAGGAGGGTAATATCTCGGGGAGCGCTGGGCCAGAGCGCCGAGCAGTAAGTCGGAAATCCTTTGGGAACAAGAGAACATGACTGGAAGCTGTTTGTGTGTGTGTGTGTGTGTGTGTGTGTGCGTGTGTGTGTTCAGAGAGAATGGGAGGAAGTGGTGTATTATTCTCAGTTAGACGGAGCTCGCCACCCGTCCGTCACTACGACGCCTCAGACCTCACACCGCTCAGCCCCTTGTTCCCACAGGACGTCCAACACACACACACACACACACACCATTTACCAGCTACCTGCCATGACTTCATCATCACAAACACAAATATCCAAAAAACAATTATTAGTCATATTATTCCAAGAAGAAGAAGAAGTTTACACTTACTGTGTACTTACTATACGACTTTACAAACTGCCCCTGAGTCGTCCTAAAATATGCCTGTAAACGTCCATCATGGAGGAGAAGCTCCTGGACCAACTGGTGGTACTCCCCATGATCCAGCATCTTTTTTAGTGTCGCATGTACCCACACAGATCTCTGCTTATCTGCTGACAGCCTCTCACCCTCAACCAGAGCTACAGACAGTACCCTCTGCCTCAACATGTCAGGAACTAGATACAAATTACCATGAAATAAATAAAAAATAAAGAGTAGATTGATTACATGGGAAGGTTAGGTAAGGAGATGATGGGGTGGTTGTCCGGCAACAATAAAAAGACACAGCAAGCATTTTTTTTGACGAGTGGTATTCAATTAAAAAAAAAAAAAAAATAGTTATGTTGTTACAGCTGAGTTTGACACGTCCACCATGAAAAAACATCTGTTTTTGATTGTTCTTGTTATTAGAAATAAAAATACATTTAGAAAGTCAAATTAAAGACTTAAGAAAATATAAATAAACATATCAGTTTTTTTAGTTTTACAGCAGCAAATGTTCAAATGAAATAAAGCGGCCGATGTTTGGACGGACTCGCTGATGTGTAACAGCCACAATCTGAGATTAAGACACACTGATTTATTTTAGTGACAGAAAGAGTTCAGCCAATGAGAGGCTGCTGACAGGTCTGAAGTTATCAGCTGGCAGAAGAAAGTGTGTGGTGTGTGTGTGTGAGTGTGACCTCTCTCACACGATGATTGGGTTTCAACGCACACAGGCAGGAGCTGTGGGAACGTCTCACACACACACACACTCTCTATTTTCGTCTCTGTGTTTCTTCAGTCTCAGAACACACACACACACACACACACATACACACACTGCGGTTATGTGAGAACGTCGCTACTTTAGCATGCTAACCTGACATCACTTCATTTCACTCGATGGCTTGTTGGACAAGTGGGAATTTTTACCTCGTGGTGACACAAGAGAAAAATCTCAGGATCAATTAGAACCCTCCTCAGGAGAACACGAATGTCAGAACAAAACTTCTTGTTAGTCCATCAAACAGATGTTAAGATATTTCAGTCTGGACCAGCCACCACTAATGGTGTCAGGTGGAAGCACAGCAGGACAACAATCAGTACGTTTACATGCACGCAGTAGTCGAGCTAAGCTGATAGCTCGGCTAATCAGTCAAGTTGGACTTCTTGTCTTGTCTGAGCGTACACAATCTCGAAATCCATCGGTAAAAAAAAAAAACAAACACTTTTTTTTCCCTTTACCTCTGGAGGCACAGCCCGGAGTTTTTCGACTAACGGAAGTGCAGGGGCCTCAGCGATCGCTCACGCCCTTCACTTCCGGCGGTTCCCCAGGGAATCACCGTGTTGTTTACAAATACTTCGGGTAGAAAACCAGCAGAGTTTAGCTATATATCACATTTTTCACGTCACTATATCACCATGTAGACTAATCTGATGTTTGTTAAGTCTATTAACACAATGATTGAACAAACATTACTATTTCTGTGTGCACGTTTTGTAATTAACATGGTTATCGTAGATTAGCTGGGCTAACCGTTAGCTGTTAACGTTAGCCGTTAGCAGTGTCTGTAATAACCATAGACTGTATAAAAATAAGGTAACGTTAATAACTCAATAAACGGTCTGTGAAAAAAATTTTTTACCAGCGGATATCGCAGTTACAACATGATTGAGCTAGCAAAGCAGTTTTGTGTTGCTATGTGTGGTATTTATTCAGTTATGGGAAATCACAATGTCTAGAAAGCATCAGTGGCTGCAGTTAACAGAGACAGTTAGCAAAGCTAACATCAGGACGTCATCTGTTAAAAGCCTCCCGTTGTCAGATACGACAAGAAAGTACTCCAGTTAGCTCAATCATGTTGTAACTCAGACATCTGCTGAAAAAAAAATAAAACATTCACGTTGACGAGACGGGTGTTTTGGGTGGAGCGGTCACTATGGACGCAGAGCTTGCTGTTTCTGTAGGTACACATTTCCTGGGGACACCTGCATGTCTCGGCCACACCCCCTCCCCTCCCCAAACCACAGCATCGTTCAAACTCAAAGCCCCGCCCTCCCCCCCTCTGTAGTCGTCTTTCACACAGGGCTGCCGACAGATTTTACGATGTAAATTGCAGAATCTGTTTTGAAAGATTAGAGCGTACGTGCAGAAGAAAAAGTCAAATTTCTGACCAAGTACGTCTGACTCGGCTTTGATAGGCGGCGCTATGTCCTTTTTGATACAGTGCGTATTGAACTAGTTCCGGTTGACCCATAGAGGAAGCTAACAATAGCCATGTTTCCATCAGCCTGTTTAGATGCACATCTAGAAGTATCGCATCAGAAAATTATGATGGAAACACCAAAATTTGAATTAAAATCCCCTGATTCACACAAACTAAAATACACTCGCTTTAGCCGGGTTTTGGTTGATTCGAAAAAAAATTTGATTTGCAAAACAGGGGATGGAAACAGTTATGTTCGAATTAAGTCTGACGTAGCGCACCTCACTCCATGGTGATATCCACACTTCGGGTCGGGAAGGCGATAATGCATTTACAAGCTGGTTGCCAACCGCCAGAAAACGTAGAAGAAGAAGAATGTGAGACTTGTTTTGTTTCCGGTTCTGTGGAAAACTCGTGCGAGTTCGTAGTTTTCACCAAAGTCCGTACATTTAATGGAAACACACAGGATTCGTATTTCTTTTAATGCGCATTTCCCAATGATTCGAATCACTTTTGGATGGAAACATAGCTAATGAATGAAGCTGGTGGAGCATGAATGTAGTTTCCTCATCCGTCCAGAATCTCATCTTCTGCTTCTTGGTCGCCATGGTGTTTGTTTGTTTGTTTTTCCGGGAGTTACTGCACTGCTGCTACATCATCTCCTTCTTCTTCTGGGTGAAAGCCCGTGAAAGAAAAAATGGTGCATGTGCAGAACGCCAAGTCCGACTCCAGTTGGACTTAGTGAATACATGCAGCAGTAGTTCGATTTTCAATTGAATTATCTAGTTGTGTTAGTCAAGCTACGGATAGTCCAATTTCAGTCGGACTAAGCTGTTAACATTCATTTAAAAGTCAAGTTTCAATCGGACTAAGCCAATAATTCGATTTTCTCAAGCTGCATGTAAACGTACTGAGTTTAGAGAACTTTCACCTGGGAGGTCAGTGTTCACCTCCCATAGGAGCATGGGCCAAACCCTGTATTTTTTCTAAATCCAACCAAACGTGTGTGTTGTTAAGGTAGAAAAACATCAATTCATGTTGTTGTACAGACGTAGTGCTTTTATTTTGAAGGAGACTGTATGCAAACTGTACATTTCCTGTGAAAACAGAAGTGTACTTTGAAAACAGACAATGTAACAGACTGAAGTTGACACAGCGTCCCAGAACGTCAACAACCAACACACCCAGGGTACCTTGGACGTCATATGTGGACGTGTAATGTCCATGACCAAATGTTGAAGAATTCAGACTTCATAGAATAAAACAGAATAGAGTTGGCACTCTGGATGTGTTCAGCTTCACTGCATCAGTCTGAAACCTGTTGACTTATATGATGACCATTTATTGAGTGTCAGAAGTGGCCTCATTCCCACACACACACACACACACACGCACACACACACACACACACACACACACACACACACACACCGACTGAAGCAGACAGGCAGTGTTATCAGGAGAGGAGGAGCAGAGCTGCAGAAATCTGCCATCTCAAAATTGTGTTTGAGAGCATGTGGGCGGTCCCAGTGTGTGTGTGTGTGTGGGAGAGAGGCTCCGTGGGAAAGCTCCAGCAGAGGAGGGAGAGGAGGAGGAGTACACACCGGTCACCAGTCCAGTCTGCAGCCGACACAGGGGCCACCTGCCCCGGACTATTTACCGGCCACACACCGCTGGATAACAACTCCTGGAAGAGAAAAGATTTCACACTCAACATCAGGACTTTTACTGAGACTGAAACAGTTTAACAGGATGATTTGCATCATGTTCACCAGTTCCTGCGTTTGCTGATGTTGGAAAACTTTTTGTAACAAGTCCTGTTTGACTTATTTTTGGTTAGGGATCACTGATGTCACGGCTCTGCTAGAGGAGAAAGTTTGGGAACTCACCTGAATCCTCATCAACTCCTGGATTAAACAAACCAAATAATCTCTTAAATGTCCTGTAATGTTCCTGTAAAATTATTTAATTCATCACTCTCTCTCTCAACAGTGCCTTTGTGGTGTTTTATATTATTTGTATGTCACTGCAGGACCTCTGTTAAAACATTCCTGTAGTGTCTATATTTCATATTAATTCACTCCTGAGGTGGACTTTACATGTTATTCAACAAAAATATATCATAGGAATCAAGGAAGGTGCATTTTTATTCAGAGAGAAAGAAACTTAATTTTCTATTTTAACAAACCCCCACTCCTCCATTCCTCGACACGGACTGCCCTCCCCACCGTCGGTGCACCATGAAGCGGCCATGTGAGGACAGCAGCTCGGCAGAGAGTGACATGGAGGAGACCATCGATGTGGGCAGTGAGAGCATTTATCCAGGGTGAGTCAGGAGCAAAATGTACTTCTGTCTTCATCATATTTTACAATGAAAAGCTTCTGATGCTCATGATTAAATCTAACAATAGGAATAATTGAATATCCCATCTGAAACACACTTTTCACACTGATTTAATAGTGACACACACATTGTGACTTTACGGTGATGATTTTATACTTTATTTATAAAACTGTGAGTTTTGTCTAATTATTTTTATATTGTATATTACTGAATTGTTCAACATTATGATCTATGGATATATTACTGCTTGTTTTTTTTAACTGTGTCTTGTAAGATGTCCTTGACTTCTTTGAAAGGTGTCTATAAAAAATGTAACATTATTATTATTTAATTCATTATATTAAAAATAAAGTAAAGGGAAAGATTTGACACAAATTGCTTAAATTGATGCTTTTTGGGCCCAAAAACAATTTAACATAAACAGTAAGCTGCTGTATGACTATATGGCAGCATGTTTTTCATTTTATTAGAAGTAAAAATAGTGTACTGTAACAATTACAGTTAAATCTGTTATATTACAATAGCAACACTGTAAAAAATACAGTATATTACTGGCAGGTTAGCCACAGTGTTACACTGTAAACCTCACATTCTACTGTAGAATACTGTAATAAATTCAGTGGTAATATACTGTTGTAAATTATGGCAGTGACACTGTAATATTACAGTAGAATGCTTGAAACTACAGCTGCCAGTAGTTTACTGTAATTTTACAGGAAAAATTGTTTAATGGTTGTTTTTGCTTGAACTTGTGGAGTTTTTGCATGAAAGCAGTCTGCAGAGCTCAGCCTGTAATCTTAATATGTTTAACAGTATGCTTTCAAAATATTTAAATTCTAACTGATGGTCTGAAGATTTTTAATTTCATATAAAAAATATAATAATTTATGTAGCTACAAAGATGATTTAATTGTTACGCCAAGATTTTTAATCTGCTGCAAAAAGCTACCATGATGTTGGTACAACATTGCCCTGCACATCAGACAGTATGAGACAAATTTAAATAGAAACTGAAACCACAGGTTTATTTAATATACAGTAAAAAGTTCTACCTTTTCAAAGTAGCCTGCAGTTTACCACAGTTTATCGTTAATTGGAGGTAAAAGATGAAACACACCAGATGTTCTGCACTGCATGCCACTATTGAAATGAAATGAAAAATAAATAAATAAATAAATAAATTTAGGGCCTGTTCTTATCAGAGGAGGGGTGTCTTTTTTTGACACTCCCTGAAGCTACAAATATTTTTCCTTGATCCTCCTTGAGTGACTGGCAGAAAATTCATGGCCCTCCCTCCACCATGAATGAGTTATTAGATATTTAATATTTATTCAGCCTTTGATGTTTGAAAGTTAAAAGTTGAAGACAAAATCCTGGAGATGAAAACAGCCTCAGAGTTTCCACATTTGTTGTGCACGCTGGTTTGTTCATGCAAGCGGTTTATTATTTTGTCAAATTCGAAATGAAACATAGAACAAACTGATTTTGATGAAATATCACTATTCCAAGCTCAGATATATTTTCTCACAGAAGTGTTCGTCACACCAAGGACTGTGGGAAATTTGGAAATCCAATGATAATTTCTGTTTTTACAGTTTTCAGCTGTGATAAATGGTGTAATTTTGAGGATTTTCAAATAAAACATACCGATAGGTTTGGAGGGCATGTTGCCTCTAAAACTCGGTGGTGAAATAAATACAGAATACAGCCATTTACATGTGTTTGCCTCTCCCCTAAGCCAAAATAGAAATAAAAAAAAATCCCTTTCCAGTGTTTAAAAATGATTTGACATGCCTCCTCTCCCGTCATAAATAACCAACAGCCCATAATGAAGTTATCCTTTTGGGACTTTTCTTTCCAAGTGGTCCAAAATTCTCTCCGTTCTGCCATCAGTGTTTCTAAAATTAGTGAATTGAATTTAGAAATGCACATTTTATTTTGTATAAAAGACCTCATTTATATGTTATGTATTGTCTTATTTAGCTGACAAAAAGGTTCAGTGTACTTTCACAACTGACAGTGTCGAGCAAGTTGCTCTCAAAATGTAATATATTACTGTGACACCTTTGCTACAGCTGCTGGTTACATTTGGATGTGACGGCTGAAATAACAAAAGCACTAAGTACTGCTGATTCTGTGAGACTCGCTGTTTGTCCTCTCTACCAACAGCTGTAGATTTTCTTTATTTTATGTCTCCGCTTTTAGACATTCGTCCACTTCTGCAGCAGTAGGATCATTTTTCTTGATCTGATGTCACTTTTAAAACTGAAACATTTCCTTCACTTTTCTTCTGGATTTAAGTCTCTGATAAAACTGCTCACTTCAGGTCAAATATCATTATTGACTGAGTTAAAAATTTTGTTTCAGGCACATGAAGGCGTCCTTTATAAGATGTGGATCACCGACCACGACCACTCAAGTGATGGCGAGGAAAAAGCGCAGAGGGGTAAAGATATAGACTGTATTAATAAACACAGTATTGGCTCTGGTGTTGTGTTCACAGTTCACAGACAGTTTGAGGTTTTTATTGTTTCCTTGTGTTTGTCAGATTATTGAGAAGAGACGCAGAGACAGAATCAACAACAGCCTGTCAGAGTTACGGAGGCTCGTCCCCACAGCTTTCGAGAAGCAGGTGAGTCTGTTTCTGTAGAGCCACACGAGGTTCCTCTGGGTTCTCACAAGATCCAAATATAACCAGTGCTGTTTTAATGCTGCTGTGATCAAGTCTTCATCTTAATCAGCACACCTGTCTGATTAATGATTCCTTTCACCTGTTTGTGGCAACCTCAAGGAGGTTGATTAGACCTTATTGATTACATTACATTATAATGCTTGGGTTTGAATTATTGCATGTGATTATTATCAAATTCTAGACTAGCAAGAGTAATGCGACAACAACAAATAAATAGTAGATGACACAATTTTTTAAGCCTTTATTGATAGGACAGACAAGCGTGAAGGGGGGAGAGAGAGGGAGTGATATGGGGCGGCAGTAGCTCAGTCCATAGGGACTTGGGTTGGGAACCGGAGGGTTGCCTGTTCAAGTCCCCGTCCGGACCAAAAATATGAAGCGTGGACTGGTAGCTGGAGAGGTGCCAGTTCACCTCCTGGGCACTGCCGAGGTGCCCCTGAGCAAGGCACCGAACCCCCCAACCGCTCAGAGCATCTGTCATGGGCAGCCCACTCTGACATCTCTCCACTTAGTGCATGTATAGGTCCAGTTTGTGCATGTGTGTGTTCGGACCTGTGTATAATTGACAAACAGAGTGAAAAATTTCCATTTCCCCTCGGGGATTAATAAAGTATATAAAATTTTAAAAAAAAATGCAGCAAAGGGCTGCAGCAACAGCCTCGTACATGGGGCTCCTGCTCTATCCACTAAGCCACCCACGCCCCAGCCAGTAGCTTTCAACCCATTCTGTCACAGCTAAAGCTTCTACTTCACTTCTTCTTAAACTTTAAAGGGGCAAAAAGCGAAATTGTTTCACTGTCAATTGTTTCACTGCTAGGTTTGCTATTGTGCACTGCCTGTAGACCAAACCAAAGTGTGTCATGAGCCACACCTCCCTCTACCTCTGCTCTCCACCCCCACCCCCCACTCGGCTAGAGCCATCGCCGGATCCTGGCTAGTGCTAACATCAGGAGCTAACGCTAATGTTCCTACTCTTCTCCGTGAGTGAGGGCGATGTTTTAGCCTGGCTACATTTTACAATGCTAATTGCAAATGTTAGCTGGGCTGCCGGGCTACTCACCTAACACTGACCCATTGCTGGGACCGAGCCACTAATAACTCAAGCTCCAGACATTAACCCATGCTACGATTGTAACATTAAATTTAATTGAATCGACATAGCAACATGTGCCTAACGTTACTGTAACACTAATTAAAACAGACATTTGACTTTATGTTGTTACTTAACGTTACCTGTCCAGGAGAGGAAGAGCTAGCTCCGAGTCAGATTGTAGCCCCTTTAGCTCTCGCAGTGCTCTCCACCTTGGAAATGCAAGGCCAATGTTAATCTGTGTTCTGTCCCTTTCTATATCCGTCAACTTCTTCGCCATCTACCGTTGTTTCTTTTGAGGTAATGTCGGATCCTGGTCGTCTTCAGGTAAACGTTTCGTTCCGCTCTCCGCCATTTCACTTCGAAAATACGTGCTGCCATTGTTCACTGGCTGTAGCCTTTTACAGGGAGGGAGGGCCAAGGGCTCTGAGAGGAGGGGGGCGGGATTCACATGAACTTACATGAACGCGCAGCCTGACCTGCTTTTAAACAATGGGCTGGAGATCAACTCAGAGAGAGGGTGTGTGACGTCATGCTGTACTCCAGATGAAATTACACCTCTAGTTCTTCACATAGCGATTTTTTAATTCCTTCAATCTAGAAATGATGAATTTCTGCTTTTCGCCCCTCTAACTTAAAGTGGGCTGCTTGGTCGTCATTAAAATAATAATAAAATAACTGTCATTCACTCACCTCGTCTGTCAGCTAGCAGTATCGTCGTCTTCCTGTCAACTGAATTCAAGTTTTCCGCATTCTGCCGATACATCAGATAACTTCCTGCTTGTCATTTCAAAATGAAAGCTGTCCGGTGTGTTAATATGTTTACCATGCTGTTTGGGGCTTCTTCTGTTTTTTTCTCTTTGAAATTTTTACCGAGGTCCGGACCTTGGTGACCTCATAGCTGGCTACTGCCATGGAAGCATCCATGTTTTCACAGACATGGATGGAAACTGTCAGAAACACTGGACTGGTGCACAGAGGCCTACAACTGGCAGTAATTCTAGTTTTGGAATATTATTTTGGGGAACTGTACAGTCAGTGGTGTGTGAACCAGTGAATCCAGCTGCTGTTTGATTGGACTGAAAACTAGTGCAATCTCAGGTGTAACTGTCATGATTAAAGCTGCTGAACCTGGTTCCTGCTTTAACAGTTAATTTGTTTTCTCAGGGTTCAGCTAAACTGGAGAAGGCAGAGATTCTGCAGATGACCGTGGACCATCTGAAGGTGCTGCAGGCCACCGCAGGGAAAGGTAACTCTGACTCTGACTCTCTCCAGTCTGCAGTTTAACACACAGTGCAGCACTGGCCCACCGGCCCCAACCACTCACTACTTTTGTTATTAATCCACCACGTCCTTAATGGATGATTCGATCACGGGTGTGTTCATCCACTTCAGGGTGCACACCTGAAGACATACAAAGAAAAGAAACACAGGAAACCAGTGAAGAAAAAGGGCATGCCCACCAACAACGTCTAATCAACATGCTGAGTGTGTGTGTGTGTGTGTGTGTGTGTGTGTGTGTGTGTGACAGAGGGAGATGGTGAGTCCATGGGAAAGCGCTGCAGGGATAAAAGCACCACTTGACCCTGAGCAGCGCTGCATGCTTTCATAAAGCCAGCAGGGGTGGGGGAGAGGGGGGAGGTCAGTGTTGGCTGCGTTCACAGGCCGTCTCTCTGCAATGTTTGTTTGGGTTTACCACCAGCAGCGTGCATGGATAAATAAATTGAAAATATTAAGCAAATGTTTCAGATCCGACAGAGCAGAGGACTCTGGGAGAGAGGGAGAGGAGGAGTGTGCTTTACGGTGAATAAGGAGTGGTATGACAGTGGCAATGTGAGGTGCTGTCCTGTTCCTGCTGTGGATCACTGTGATACATGACCGTGCGGCCATCTTATTGAGGTCGGGATGCGTGAATGTAAATCATTCCACAACCCTTGTTGAAGCTCTGCCTTCTAGTGCCATCTATTGGCTGTATCTATGCCATCATTAAGGACGCACAGAAGTACGAGGGCAGTGATGTTTACAACGTTTGAAACCAATGTATCTATTTCCATACGTGAAGGGAGAATACATGAGCCATAAGTGGAACCAAGGAATTCTCATTTGTCAGCCTCGGCTCCTCCATCCCTCTCTTCCTCACATCCTCACACTGGGAGGAGCTAACAAGCAAGGAAAATACTTGAGGGAAGGAGACAAGGAGACACGTTAGCACATTGAAAAGCACTCACTGTTGATCTGACGCACAGTGTTTAACCTCTCTCTCCTTTTTTCTCTGTCTGCAGGTTATTTTGACGCCCACGCTCTGGCCCTGGACTTCCTGTCTCTTGGTTTCAGGGAGTGTGTGACGGAGGTTTCCCGCTACCTCAGCACCGTGGAGGGCCTGGACTCCGGCGACCCTCTGCGATCCCGCCTCCTCTCCCACCTCACCACCTGCGTCTCACAGCATGACGCTGCTGCCTTCACCATGACCTCGCCACATCACCACCACCACCACCACCAGCCTCACCCTTTACCTCCCCCCTTCCACCCCCATCACTGGGCCGCTGCAGCCGCTGCAGTCGCCACTGCAGCTGCGTTTCGACCTCTGCCGGCCGCTGCCACTGCCACGCCATACGGACTGAGTGGGCTGGTTGTTTCTCCAGATTCTGGAGGAGGTGGAGCCCCCCAGAGGCTGGCGGAGTTGTCACAACACGGTGTGGCTGCCTCCTTCGCCTCCCACGCAGACTCCTCCTCCTCTCCTTCCTCCTCCTCCTCTTCGTCATCATCCCTCGTGCTCCCTTGCACCCCCACTCCTCTCTCTGCTTCCCTCCTTTCCCTCTCAGCGTCGTTTCCCATCACCCTCCATGGAGGTTTCCCCATCCTTCCTCCCTCCTCCTTCACCTCCACCGCTGCCACCACCAGTCCTCCCATCTCCTCTTCCTCCTCCTCTTCCTCCCAGACTCCTCACAGCAGCAGCAGTAAACCCTACAGACCGTGGGGAACTGAGGTCGGAGCGTTCTGACTCTTTAACTGGCTGATGATGCTGCTGCTGACTAACTTCTGACAGTTTAACAGTCTGGAAAGTGAATTTATAAACCGTCTGGTTTTAACTGTTAACTTGTTAACCTGTGAGGTGTTTTGACTTTTTTACATCTGCTAATTTCGCAAAGTGACCAGTTCTGAAACTTTTTTAAACTTGCTACCTTTCTTCGTTCTGCTCAGATTTTCTGAGCTGTTTTAACATGTTTTGAAGCTGATGTTTTGTTCCTGTATGAGATGTAAAAGAAGGTGACACTCGCCTTTGAAATGTTGCCATGAATGTAAAACCTAACCAAGTTACTTTTGAAGAACATTAAATCCTCAGAATAAATGTTGGCATTGTTTGTTTCTGCAAATGACAGATAACATTTGTTTGTTAGCTATTACGCAGAGGATATGTTGAAACTTTACGTTTCTACAACACTGTGGTTAATCTGGGGTTATGCAAAAAAGCCACTTGGTTAGGAAAACATCATGATTTGGCTTTAAATATCCAGTTTTGGTGCCACATTCAAGGCTAGAAATGCCATCGATATCTCACTTAGGGCCCGTCCTAATACCACCCCCTTAGCCCTACCCCTTGACCCTACCCCTACATCTGCGTGTTCCCCCCGATGGGTAGGGGTGTCCCAATTCCTTTTTGCGTGTAGGGGTAGGGGGCATAACTAGGGGTAGTGGGTATGAAACTAGCCCTTTGGAGCGAGGGATTTCAGATGCTGACTTGCCAGCGAGGGGTAGACGTCGCCATGGCTACCACTGAGCAAGAGACGGGGGGAAAAGCTCATACATAGCTAACGTTACCATCGTCAGGTTGCTTGTTAGCTAGCTAGCTAGCTTGCACTATCTGGCGTCTGTCACCTGTCCTGCTCTGCAAAATTGTTGGATTTTTCACATTACGATAACACGCCAGCTAGTATAACTATGCTGCCTCGTAATGTTAGCTGGTTAGCTAGCTAGCAGAAGTCCCCTGTCGTCTGTCGTTCATCAAACGAAGCATGATGAATACAGCAAATGCGATCGGTAGGATGAATGAGACTCCATTGTAGATGCTGGTTGGAAATGTAGATGGCTTGCAGCTTCCTGTTTAAAATAGTTATGTATGCATGAACGCGTGACATAGTGAGTGGTGTCCCAATTCCTAGGGAAAGATTTCAACCCCTACCCCTCGTTGCTTCATTTCGAGGGCCAAGGGGTAGTGGGCAATGGCTAGGGGTAGGGCCAAGGGCTAAGGGGTAGTGGACAAGGCGGGGTATTGGGATTGGGCCTTAATCACAATCCCTTTTTGTTGTTTGTAGGTCCCAAACAGTGGTGGCTTGCCAGCTGTTTAACTTGCCATTGTCACCATCCAAGACAATTTATTCTTGGACATACAGTTAAGGTGACTGTACCAGGCGGGGAGGTGAAAAGTTAAAACACTGTCAGCCATAGTTTTGTACATTAATTCTAAAATCTGCTGACTGACACTGAGGCCACCGAGTTTCCTAAGGACATAAAGTCACTGTGAGCATCTCTTGAGAATTTACTCAGTATTTTCAGAGAAGCTCACATGGGAGAGAATTGTACCAAGATATTAAAAATGTTCCCCAGTTTCAACATGTTGGCCATCAATCGTTCCATGGCTTCTCGCATTCTCGCCCACCATCCCCTCCACCCTCCGATGACAGTCAGCTCATATACATGAAATCAGAAGTACATTACTTTACAGACGTTGATATGATCCATATGAAATATACAAATGTAAAGTACAATACATTTTCTTCTGGCGACTGGGCTGAGACTGGACTTTTACTGAGCTCACTGAGAGAATCTCGCAGAACGACCATGTTTATTGATGTTTAACTTTAAGTCTGCTGATGTTCTGTATTTCTTTCTTATTGTCAACAAAACCCATGAAACCAACAATGACTGTATCCACTAACAACTACAGTGTGTGTATCACCAGCCTGATATATATTCTTCCTCCATTGTTGCTAAAGACACATCAGTGAGCCACATTGTGTCGATGGGTGACATGTTCCTTATGAACACACACTGTAGTTTATTTGGACTCAGTCCCACACACACACACACACACACACACACACACACACACATTTGATTATTTTATTAAACCAGTTTTTATATTCAGCAGCCCTAATTTCAGTGCAAACATTAACTGGCATAAACTGTAAATTGCTGCGACAAATCACATCAATGTGTGTTCACTGTTCACTACCAAAAATGTTTTGGCTGGTCAGGCTGAGAAATATTTCAAAGGGGGTACATTATTTAAAAAGGTTTAGAGCTGCTGCACTAGAGCACCAAATGTGGACTAATCTGCCACTGAAAATAGTCCCCAGCAAATGCATTATTTCCTCCTGTTTAATAAAAGCTACAGTGAGCAGATGTTGGAATTGATGAAACTTTTTTTTTTTCAAGTTTTGCCCGATCGTTCACTTGGACTCAACAATGAACTAATTAGATTTTGGTGGTCATGGGTAAAAGGTCAAGGTCGCTGTGACCTTGCATCCATCTTATTCTCGTGAATGCAATATTTTAAGAACACTTTCAGGGAATTTCTTTAAATATGATGAAATATATAATTTGTTTTTATATAATTTGTGTTTGTAGATCTGTAGATGGGATTTTTTGACAATAAGAAAATGTATGATTACAGCAGACTGATCCTTTGAAACCTTCAGACCTTAAATGGCGACTATGTGACAAAAACCAATGAACCAAAGTTTGCATCTGAGATAATCACTTCACTGAAACTAACAGGAATGGATTCTTTTTAATTAAAGAGGCCAAAACTGTGCGACTGCAGACCTGCCTAAACCAGCACAGCCTCAGATGGCTGTTTGTTCAGACTGGTGCAAACTGGGATGAAAATTAACATTATAATAGTGGTGAATGTAATATTGCACTTCATTAAAAACCCTTTTTCCACTTTTATTATCTGTGGTTTACTGACTTTATCATCAAGTCATTTTCCCAGCAGTTCTGACACTTGTTGAAGTGTCCGCAGGTTCATTGTGGCGCATTGGCTCCCCCTAGTGGTGAAACACAGCCAGGGAAATTATGGATTGGGTGGGAAGGTGCTGTATTTATGTTCTTACTCTCTTGAGGTTCATCCAGATTGATTGGACAGCTCAGATGTTACTGATTCGTGTTGCTGTATTGCTGCCATGAGTTTAAAGTCCTACATACATTCAATGTTACTTCAGATCCACATGGAGTAAAACATTCACATTAAAATACTGGGGTATTATGACATAATCACAGGTTTCAGTAGTCCAGTCTCTCAGAATATGCACTACCTTACAGGCCATACTTTGTTCTCTTGTTGCTTTCTCTAAAACCTTTTTTTATGCAAGGACACTCTGACGTGCCAAATAACTCCTTCATTGGTGACAATAATAACTGAAACTGAAAACAAACATGTTGGTTCCTGTGGTCGGGGGTGTGTGGCAGCTCTCGAGCTCATCGTGATGAAACCATCAGCTTCACTTTTGTGGGTTTAATGGTTCTGCAGGACAGAAGATGGCTCTGTTACTTAGGCGATAATCAACCAAATAAAACTTTTAAGACACAAAATGTTTTGTGTTGAATCATGCTGCTGCTCCTGTTTACACATTATGAGTGACACAGTGGATGATAAAACGCACTCTGAGTGATGTTTCCTTTTGTTTCCATCCTGTCAGTGTGGGGAAGGAGCTGGTGAAATAACTGAGGCAACACTTTCCCCATCAGCCTTTCGAAAGTGTTTCTTTGAAACAAAACATATAGAGACTTGAGCAATGCATTTGGCGTTTTGTTCCTTTCAAGACTTTTAAGAGTTACAGCAGTCAGAGGAAGACGTGTCATTTCAGTGTTCACAAACAGCAGCTTTAATCTGCAAGTGGTAAATGAAAATGTGATTAATTTGGTTATTCTTTTTTTTTATTCTTTTGTTTTTGGCACAAGTTGCCCCAAAAAAGCATTCTTGAAGAGATAAGAATAGAGACCAGTCACTGTTTTAAATGAGTCCATATATCTTTTCTCACCACCCCTCAGCTTCAATAATCATGTCTCATCTATCTTAATAACCTTGGTTATTTGTATAATCCCCTTCAAAAATAAATTGGTGTTTAAGGAAGCTCTTAAATCTGTAGGTGTTTAAAGATTCTACTCCAGTTGCCTTAAAATGGACCTTTCCCCCAATAATATGAGGTGTAAACTCATTTTTGAGCACATTTTGTGAACCTTACCCCAAAATGCAGATACAATACCAAAAAAGAGAGACTGTTGACTCATCAGCATTGATCTGATTCTCTAATACCCCGTGTATTTAGCATTTTTCTATGAGCCAGAAACTTATAAATTATTCTTAATTGAAAATACTAGGGATGCACTGATCCGATATCTGGATCGAATATCGGCCCCGATATCATCAAAATAGATGATACCTGAGGCTATCCTTTGCCTTTAAATCTATTGCGACGCGAGCTATGTCAAACGTCATGGAGCGAAGGAGAGAATCTGCTGTGTGGAGGTATTGTTTATTTTTGTTAAAAATAAATAGTTCATCATTGCTTTAATCTGTTTCATCTTGTTTCATTTTATCTTAGGAAAGAACTGTGTAGTCATCAATGCCTGATGCCTCTAGTCTTTTCTGTTCTATGTTACGGTCAACTTCAGGTCAACCATGGTATTGGATTGGTATCGACTGATACTCAAAGCCACAGCATCGGGAATGGTAACTGAAAAAGCTGGATCGGTGCATCTCTAGAAAATACCTTGTGAATGAGTCAACGGTTGTTTTATATACTGTATCAAACCAAAAACCAGTTTCCATGGTATAGGGCAGTCGAGAGAATCCTCCCATTTTTGATAAGTAGGCTTCTGTATGGAATATTTCCCAAGGACCAGTATGTTAAATTAAAATGATAAATGTTTTGGTTTATCTTTCTGTTTTGCAACCATCTGTGTTTTTTTTATAGCTGGTTGACAAACTAACAGTTGATCATTTCCATCATTATTTTTACTTTTCTAGTGCACTCTAAGAGCAGAAACCAATTGATTAACGTCTTTTTTCTTAATAAACTTTAACAGAGACCTACAGTAATGCAGTAATGTGGTGATACATTTGGTCTTCAAATACTAGTTTTTTAAGTATTTTTATTGCATTATTATCTGTACTGTGTCGATGGTAGGAACAAAAAAAAAAAGGCGCGGGGTCAACACCGACAGTTCCGGGTCAAGGATGAAAAACGGGGGGGAAAAAAAAAAATCGGACTTTTCCGGAGTTTCTCGGCAGTCGGCACGCGCGTGCTTCAAGCTAACCGCCGTTAGCTTCTGTCTAACCGTCACTAACGTCTGTTTGCTGCGGAGTTTGTTAACGTTTTGGCTCTGCTGAAGAATTTTTGGAGGCAGTTAACGGACCATCAGTCACAACAGCGGATACCGGAGCAAAAACACCGGGACTGGACCGACACCGGGCGGCTGAAGGTGAAAAGTTTCGGTGGTCGGAGCAACGCTAGCGCCGCCGCGGCTGTGCGCATAGTCTCTGGGTCCACGGTCATTTGGTGAACCTGTGCTAACCGTCATTGTCGTGACTTCAAGAAGACTCAAGAAATAAAACAGGTGAGTTATTGTGTGTCTGTCGAGTTACTGCTAAGTAACGTAATATATTAAATCATAATGCTAATGTGCTGGCTGATGATGATTGACCGTGCCGCAGTTTGCTAACGGCAGGTGCTAACTTTAGTAACTGTTAGCTTAACTACATCCGGTTGTAAGGTGGTTAGCTAACATTCAACATGTCCCTGTTGTAGCACTTTATTTATCTCACTGTGCAGTGTTGGGTTTATTTTTCTGGAAGGTCTGTGGTAGTTTTATGATTTATAAAAATAAGTGATAGTGATTCGTGAGCTAAATGTTACCGGTCATACAGCAAACCGACATTTTTAACGGTTGTTAAACGGTTGTTGTGTGTGTAAAAAAAATGAAAGTCATTATGTTAGTAAGTCATGTGTTTCTGTAAAGCCTCATATGGTCTTTAGAAAAAGTAGTTGTGTAGGATTGTTGTTGTAATAAATAACTTATAAATAGAACAATTCATGCATAAAACGCAAAACATCTGTGATGGAGAAAAAGATGATAAAAGAGTATGATTAAATACAAGATAAAGTAAAATCCAATTCAAACTACATGCTAAGACAAGATAAAATGTGTCATAGGTTTGAAAGTTGAACAGATTTCGAGCCCCCAGGCAGACTGTTGTTGTTTTTCAGGGTCGCAGGTTTTTGTCTTTGTGGCTCATTTTGTGTCACTGGATAATAAGGTTGAAAAACAAGACACTTTTATAATGTCTTTCTGTCATAAGAACGTTTGCCTACTGTCACAGGAGTTTGGTGGTGTAGTGTGGGTGTGTCAGGTTCACTGCAGAGTATGTTTAATAAGGGAGGGGTCTGATGATGGTGACTGAACATGTGTCTGAAGCAACTCATAATGACGATGGCAATGTGTTTGTGCTTTGGTCATTCAGATAATATGGAGCAGAAGTAGAGCCTGAGTTTAACATTGGTTGCTCTAATTAAGTACATTAGCTACTAGCACAGCTGCACAATTAATCAGAAATATTATTGACATCTCAATAGGTCTAAGTGCAATATCCAAATTGCATGAACTGGAACATTTTGATAAAGGTAAAATGTGTCATTTATTACGTTATAAATGAAGCATGGTGGTGCCACAGAGATGCGTGGGCCTGTAAATTATATTCCAGATGTAAGGCAACATGCTAGTTTGGTGTAGACCCCAGTGACCCCATTTTTTTTCTCTGTGAAAATTAAATGCAAAAATAACAATTCCCCAAATTGCGACTCATTTTGCCATATCTGTCAAAATAATATTATAATATGATTTATTTTTGCATATTGAGCAACCCAGTGAGCACGACTGCACCACCACGTTGCAGTAAACACATAACAGTGACTTTGACTTTCAGTTACAGGGTGGCCTTATTTGTGTTGCTAAGAACCAGTCAATGAGCAGTTAGAGCAACCTGTGAAGAAAAAAACATATATAAATAAAGTTGTGTAAAGTTTTAGCATCTGTAAACAAATTAAAAATATCTAGAAAGTTTTTTTTTTTTTTTTTGAAGTCAACGGTTGTCACTTTAAGGTTTGTATTATTTGAAAGATGCGTGATCAAGAAAATATAATATCCATTATAAAATTTGGGCAACCTATGTTATCAAACAGGTTTTAGGGCAAGTTTATGCCTATTTTAAGTTATATGAATATTAGGGGTGGGGGAAAAATCGATACAGCATAGTATTGCGATATTTTGCGTGGCAATTTTGTATCAATACATGAAAGCTAAGTTTTGATTCTTTTATTACACCGAATATTAATATTGCAACTAAAAATTTAACTTTGATAGAAAACTTAAATAATACAATCAGTTGCTGCAATAAAAATGACTGACACAAAATAAACAGACTGAAACCTTATTAGATAAAACAAATGTTATTTGTTCAATAACATCTAGGATTACACTGTCATAAACCAAAAACATCAAATTATTTTATCCAACCAACACCCTAAAACTTAAAGATATGCTAAGGAAATGATGGGCAAATTAATCTGGAATGAAAATTGTTAGTTGCAGCCCTTATTATGATCTGCCCTCTACAATGCATTGGAACAATAATTCTTGGTGAGTCATATTTAAATGTGTTTTTGTGTGTGTGTATGCTGTGTGCCTTGTGTTTTCCAGATAACATCCAGTGCTCACAGCTGTGTTGACGAGAGGTGACAAATCATGAGTAGCTGGATCTCATGAAACTGCCAAAATGTCTTCAATCAAAGGACTTCCTACAAGAGGATCAGATGTAACAGTTCTCATAACCAGGTCTCACTTGCATCCCCAGTGTGTGCTCGTAGAGTTCTGGGGAAAATTTTGCCAGGAGAGGACAGCAGATTATGAGTACCTCGCTGAAGACATTCAGTCTCCCGGAAACTCATTTCAAGAGTTTGAAGGGAATCCTGGTGACCAGTGCTTGGTTCAGATAGATGGTATTTGGTACAGGTCCCGCATAGTGTCAAGAAGCGGCCTGAAATGCAGTGTGTTCCTCATTGACAAAGGAAGGACATGTAACACCACCACAAGTAAGTTGGCATGGGGTAAGAAGCAGCACTTCCACCTGCCACCTGAAGTGGAATTTTGTGTGCTAGCTAACGTGTTACCCCTCACGCCTGAGAACAGATGGTCCCCAGTGGCTCTCGAATTTCTGAAATCTCTGTCTGGAAGGTCTGTGAAGGCACATGTGCAGGATGTACTGGTGCCACATAGAACATTTCTCCTGCACATCCCCTGCATATCCAAACAAATGTATGAGATGGGAATTGCAAAGAAGCTGTCCCCAGATGCGTTTCAGGGCTTTGTTCTTAAGTCACTGCAGCCCCATAGTGGAGCCTTAGTGTCTCCAGAGGCTCAGATTTCCATGGGAGCAGTTGAGCAACTGCACAAGAAAGAGCTCTATATGTACCCAGAGCTGCCAGCAGGAACTGTGGAAACTGTCATCGTCACTGAGGTGACAAATCCGCAGCGGATTTTTTGCCAGTTGAAGGTCTTCTCACAAGAGTTGAAGAAACTCTCAGGGCAGTTGACACAGCGCTGTGAAGGCAGAATGGCCAATTGCATTGTAGGGCAAGACATGATTGGGTTTCCATGCGCTGCAAGAGGAAGTGATGGCAGGTGGTACCGCTCTGTTCTACAACAGGTTTTCCCAAACAACAATGTGGTGGAAGTGTTGAACGTCGACTATGGAACCAAACAGATTGTTCCAGTGGAGAATGTCAGACCACTGGCTCTCGAGTTCTTCAGGATGCCCGTTGTGACTTACATCTGTTCCCTCCATGGAATCATTGACAAAGGGGTCGGATGGACAACAAGCCAGGTTGAGTATCTTAGGACGCTTCTCCTGCAAAAGACAGTGATTGCCAAATTTGAGTACCAAAGTATTTCTGAGGGTGTTCACTATGTCACGCTTTACGGGGATGAAAACACAAACATTAACAACATGTTTGGTACCAAAGAGAGCTGTTTTCTAGAGGGAGAAAAAACTCTTGGAGATTACGCCATCTGTAGAACTGCAGGGAGCCGCCAGCATCCAGCTCAGCAAGAGAGGAATCAGAGAAAGATGTTCTCTTTAGGACAGGAAGAAGATGGAAAAGATGAGAAAGGAATGGCAGAGAAGTTGCCAGCTGAAGACCTTGCTCTCAATTCATCACATGTGGCAGTTGTTCCGCATGTATCTGACCCATCTGAGTTTTGGATCCAAACCCAGAACTATGCAAATGAGTTGGACGAACTGATGGATAGCATTTACCACCTGTACTCAGATTCAGTGAATAAAGATGTGGTGAGAAATCCGACAGTTGGGCTCTACTGTGCTGCCAAGGCAGAAGACAGTGAGTTCTACAGAGCAACTGTGGCTGAACTTGGCGAGCAACAGGTCAAGGTGTTCTTTGTTGATTATGGAAACACTGAAGTGGTTGACAGGGGCAACATCAGGACCCTTCCAGATGAGCTCAAAAAGCTGCCATGTCTTTCACTGAAGTGCTCTCTGGCTGGTGTCAGGCCGAAAGATGGGAGATGGAGTCCAGATGCCTGTGACTTTTTCATCAAAGCAGTCACAGATAAAGAACTAACTGTACATGTGACAGCAAAACATGATGAGGGCTATGTTGTCCAACTTAAAGACCCCAAAGCTCAGGGAGAAAGAGATCTCAGCACACTGATGTGCAGTTCTGGCTTTGCTGAAAGGGCTGAGATACAGAGACAACCCAAAGCCAAAATGACCACACAACCTGCCATTCTGCCACAACTTACAGATGCCAGGCTCTCAGGTGTATGCAGGAACAAAGCAGTGTCTTTCCAGACCCCATTCACAGTTGGCTCTGCCAGTAATGAAAGACTTACTGCATTCAAGGAGCACATGTTTCCCATTGGAAGTGTCCTTGATGTCAGTGTGTCCTACATAGAAAGCCCAAATGACTTCTGGTGTCAACTAGTACAGAATGCAGGGCACTTGAAATTGCTCATGCATGACATACAGGCTCATTATGCAGGCAGTGAGTTTCAGCCCTTTGTGGAAACAGCTTGTGTTGCTCGCCACCCTGATAATGGAATGTGGTACAGGGCCCTTGTAATTCACAAACATGAAACGGCTGATGTGGATGTGCTGTTTGTCGACTATGGCCAGACGGAGACCATCTCCCTCTTTGACCTGAGGAGGATCAGCCCGCAATTCCTCAATCTGCGTGGCCAAGCTTTTCGATGCAGTCTGTTAAACCCTGTTGACCCAACATCCGCCATAAACGAGTGGAGCGAAGAAGCAGTAGCAAGGTTCCAAAACTTTGTGGAAACTGCAGCATCCAACTTTGTGATTTTGAAGTGCACCATATATGCCGTTATGTACAGTGAGCAGAAGATTGTTTTCAACATTGTGGATCTCGAAACTCCCTTTGAGAGTGTCTGCACCACTATGGCCAATCTAGTCAAAAGCTTGCCTCCAAGCATGGCTGCTGGACCATCTTTCCGTCTGGACACGTACTACTACTCAACGCACAACATCAAAACTGGAAAAGAGGAGCAGGTCACAGTGACATGTGTGAACACTGTCAGTCAGTTCTACTGCCAGCTCGAGAGGAACGCTGATGTGATGAAAGATCTCAAGAAGAAAGTGAACAATCTCTGTCATCAGCTTGAAAATGTAAAGCTCCCAACAGTCTTTGCAACTTTGTGCTTTGCGAAGTACACTGATGGGCAGTGGTACAGGGGACAGATTAAGGCCACAAAGCCAGCGATTCTGGTTCACTTTGTGGATTATGGTGACACCATCAAAGTGGAAAAATCAGATTTGCTCCCAGTTCCCAGAGAGGCTAAAGACATCATGTCTGTGCCTGTGCAAGCAGTTGTGTGTAGTCTCTCCGATTTCCCTGCCGATGTTCCCAGTGAGGTAAATGCCTGGTTTGAGACAAGTGTGACAGAATGTAAATTTCGAGCACTAGTTGTGGCCCGAGAGCCTGATGGGAAACTCCTGGTAGAGCTGTATCATGGAAACACTCAGGTTAATTCAAAGATGAAGAAGATGTTTCAGATTAAGATGCACACAGAGACAAATGTTGTCCACCAGGGTCGGAGAGCACTTGAGGCTTCCACAAACCATGCACAAAAGACTCCAAAAGTTGTCCCAAAACAAGCTGCTGAAACGGAAGATCACACTCAAATCTCAACGAAAAATGTCTCCGCCCCCAAACCAGCACGACGCGTGAGGGATGCCAAGGTCAAAAGTGCTCCGTTAGAGCTGTATATACCTCCACACCAAAGGCAGTCCTGTAAAAGCACACCAGGCAATACAGGAAATGGTTCTGAGCCCGGAGGTGCCCAAATCAAACCAAGAAGGAAATGTCCTCCCATAGACAACGAACAGCTCATCAAATCCACATCACCTGGCACAGAATCTCAGAAGGAAAGCAATGCTGAAAAATTCCCTAAACTTGCAGACCTGCCCTCAAAATCTATCGCATCAGATATGGAAGCAGATATTTATGTCTCGCACTGCAACAGCCCATTGAGTTTCTATGTGCAACTTGTCAGAGAGGAGGATGGAATTTTCTCCCTTGTGGAAAAGCTAAATGATCCCCAATTCATCCCCCAAACCAACGACATCAAAGACCTGCATCCAGGTGATCTGGTTCAAGCAGAGTTTGCAGATGATTCCTCGTGGTATCGAGCAGTTGTAAGAGAGATTCACGGAGAAACGATGGCTCTTGTTGAGTTTGTTGATTTTGGAAACACAGCAAAGGTGCCAATTGCCAAGATAGGCAGACTCCATAAGTCTTTCTTGGAACTTCCTGTGTACAGCACACACTGTATGCTGAGTGAGGCTGCAGGTCTTGGAAAAGAGGAAGTGCCTGACCCAGAAGTGGTGTCAGCTTTCAAAAAAGACATTGGTGGCAATGGAGAAAAGGTTCTCAAGTGCCATTTCATCAGCCAGTCAGGATCTGTTTGGGAAGTCAGTCTTCAAGACAGTGGTGTGAATGTCATGTGTAAAGTACCTACTAGACGCTCAACCGATGCTTCTGAAATCGGTTCAGAGAAACTTCAGCAAGTCGAGGAAAAGCCTGCCCAGAATTCTGACATCAGTAAACTGTCAGAAAATTCAGAAAAACCACCACTGAACTCCTACCACCAGCAAGTGTTTATAGAGGGACAAAAGTTGGAGGTCTACATCACAGCTATAAATGACGCTCAGACCTTTTGGTGTCAGTCTGCAGACTCGGAAGAACTTGATAAGATTACATCAGGTGTCTCAGAAGTGGGCAGTGCAGTTGATCACAAACATATTGATCCAGGCTCAGCCTCTCCTGGCAGCCCATGTGTTGCTCTCTTTTCAGACGATCAGTTTTGGTACCGCGCAGAGGTCATTGACAAAAATGGAGATGAGCTTTCTGTTCTCTTCGTGGACTATGGAAACAAGTCCTATGTCAACATTACAGATGTGAGGGAAATGCCCCCTGATCTGATGGAAACTACTCCTCAGGCATTTCTGTGTGAGCTTGAGGGCTTTGATGCTTCTCACGGATCCTGGGACAGTGGTGCAGTAGATGAGCTGTCAGCGCTTACAACAGACAAAGTGTTACAGCTGACTGTCACCAGAGTAGCAAGAGAAGAAGGAAGAATCAAATGCCTCGTGTGGATGGAATGTGAGGGCCAGGGGATAAATGAGGCAATGAAAACCTGGTGGAAGAGCTCCAAGATGGAAAATGAACCTGGTGCAGTTGGACTGATCACTTTGAAAGAGACTGCACCACCCGAGGACCAACCAGAGTATCCTGAAAGTCAAGAAATGGATAATACTGATACTTACATTCACCCTCAGAGGGACCCCAGTGAAGAGCAGTGCACTGGTGAGCTTGTCGACCCCCAAGCAGATATTTTGCCATGTGATGGTGGCATCGATCCATCACTTGAAAAAAAGGGTGGAAAGGGAAGTTTGACCTTGACCTATGTTAAGAGAGCAGGTGAAACTGATGAAGGCACAGAAGAGGAGGGTTCCTTAGTTGACACTATTGGACTAGATGATTTAAATCCTCCATTGGAAGAGAACCCTACAGAAGTCATAGATGAGTCAGAGATTGAAACAACCGTCTTTGAGTCTCTGGATGAGAACCTCACTGAGGCCACAGATGAGTTAGAGATTGCAGTAGCTGCATTTAAATTACTGGATGAGAACCCCAAAGAGGCTGCAGATCAGTCAGTGATTGTATCTCTTGTATATGAGTCTCTGGATGAGAACTCTGTAAAGGCCACAGACGAGTCAGAGATAGTAACTATAGACTCTGAGTCTCCAGATGAGAACCCCACAGAGGCCACGGACAAGTCAGAGATTGCAACGACTGTGTTGGAGTCCCTGGATGAGAACACTGTGGAGACTGTAAATGAGTCAATGATTGTACTGCTTGGATATGAATCTCTTGATGAGAACCCTACAGAGGCCACAGACGAGTCAGTGATGGCAATGACTGCATCAGAGTCTCAGGATGAGAACCTTACAGAGGCCACAGATGAGTCAGAGACAGTAACGACTCACTCTGAGACTCTGGATGAGATCCCCACAGAGGCCACAGATGAATCAGAGACAGTAACGACTCACTCTGAGACTCTGGATGAGAACCCCACAGAGGCCACAGATGAATCAGAGACAGTAACGACTCACTCTGAGACTCTGAATGAGAACCCCGCAGAGGCCACAGACGAGTCAGAGACAGTAACAACTGACTTTGAGACTCTGGATGAGAACCCCCCAGAGGCCACAGACGAGTCAGAGACAGTAGCAACTCACTCTGAGACTCTGGATGAGAACCCCACAGAGGCCACAGACGAGCCAGAGACAGTAACGACTCACTCTGAGACTCTGGATGAGAACCCTGCAGAGGCCACAGACGAGTCAGAGACAGTAACGACCGACTCTGAGACTCTGGATGAGAACCCTACAGAGGCCATAGACGATTCAGAGATAGCAACGGTTGCAATAGAGGCCATAGATGAGGTGGAGATCCTAACAACTGACTCGTCTCTGATTGAAGAGGTTAATAACAACAGGATGGAAAGCAGCTTTGACATCATGAATTTTTCTGGTAAGCAACAGTTTTTTCTTTTAATCTTTGTTTTGGATTAGTAAACAATATGTTGCATTTCCTGACCATCAAATAAGCAGTTGACCGTAAATTAATACATGGGGAATCATGTCAGTATGGACAGTAAACATATTTAGTACTCTGATTATATCTTATGTGCATGTAAAGTTTGGTCAATTAACCTTGTTAATAATTTTACATTTGTTGTTTCTTATTTTGTTGCATTTTCAGATTCAGCCGAGGAAAGAGACAACAGTGAGGTTACCACTGCAGTGGACATCCCACCTACCAGTATGACAACAGTGAAAATGGTAAATTGTGTGACACTGATTTAGGTGCATAGTAGGTGTGAACGTCTATACTGCTGACTTGAGTACATATGGTGAAACAGACTTGATGATATCTAATTAGGTGTTGTATTCTTTTAAAGGTTCCCTGTGAAGCTTTCAGTCTCAGGGAGAGTGAAGATCTGCTGGAGACACAGGAGAGCATTTCTGAAGACTTGAAGCAGGTACATCACATCGATCTGATCTTCAGCTGTACTTCATCTCCATACAAAGCACGTAGTGAGATTAGATCTTTTGATGATCCGTGTCTGAAAAAAGACACTTAGAAAAAACTGTGGTCATGGAGTAAAATACTTGCAAAGACATGATTTTTTTTAAAACTGTGGTTTTACTTGTTTTGTCATCTTGTAGATTCAGACTGAACTGGTGCGGCCCTGCTGCGTGCCTCCTGTGTTTGGTGAGTGATTACTTATTCTGACCATGTAACACTCATACAGTATGGGCTAAGGGTACCAAGTAAAATGACATTTTTAAGGCTAGCTATCGATTAGCCTACAACACACTGAGTGTGTCTCATATGTCATACTTCTGTTAGTACACTTCAGTGTAGTACACTATGTACTTTGCGTGGTGCACTGAGTTTAACAAGGTAGTGTTGCCTCAAATCATGCACTGATGTTTTGCACTTAACAAAAGTGACAGCGGCTTTCCTTTTTCTTTTCTTTGTTGGTCATCTTCTTTTTAAACTGCAAATTGCAAACGGACGGTGGAGCATCATCGCCAACATTTGACCACTATCTCCGCCCACAAAGACACCAAACTTGTGCCACATCCGTGCTGGTTAAAATGTGCTGCCATAGCCAAGAGCAACTTAGCTAGCCAGCAAGCTAACGTTAGTCTTCGCATTATTGTTTGCTGTACCAAACCATTACAGACCCAACAAACATTACTGACTGCCTCTATTCGACAACAGTTTTGGTACTTAGTGCAAAAACATGTATAACTAACATCTGTATAACACGGCGGTGTTCACTGTAGCCAGCTCAGGCTCCTTGTTGTCCCCAGCTGCCATGTCAAAAGTTGAGAAGTTTGTGATGTAGCAAAGATGGCGACCGTTGAGGTTGAGAAGTGTCCATCTTTCCATGCTCAATGTTTGGACCGTTTTGAGTGTGCCAGTAGTACACTGCATTTTCCCGTACTATGCAGTGTGAATGCACTTAACTATTAAGTGTGTAGTACAGAGGTATGTGATGTGAGACACCCTGACTGTAGCTTCAGGTAAATAAAATGAAGACAGAAAGTCGGAGTGCATCTTTGCTTTATAGGCAATTAGGTAAAACACTCATTCACATAAATTTGGTTAGCTAACATAAGTGCAGTGTGTAACACTGCGTGTGCTGTGAAATGACTGTATTTTGATGATGGACTGTGATTGTCTTCATAGATGTTCCTACAAAGTGTGAAATGGGAGCTGGAGATGAAGTGCCAAAGGAAGAGCTGCCATGTGTTACCACACATGTGGAGGTAATGTTATGGACATACAGGGATTTGGATGGTGTTTTTACCAGTACTTGTGTTCTTCTGAAAGCCTCGTCCTGAACGGTCCAATAAGAATATGGGTCTTGTTACACCTTGTTGATCTTTGTTCCTGTGTATGACATGACATCATTGACGTAAAGTGCATCAGACAGGTCAGTGATGGATACTCTGTTCTGTTGCAGAGTGACTTGATGACTGCAGAGGAGAGCTCAGCTCATTATGAGGATACAGATTCAGGTTTGATGACATCATCATTTGTCAAACTGAATTTTGGGATTAAACACCTTTCAGGCATTTCCCATTCATTGTCATTTGGCATCTGTGTGTGTGATCCAAACAAAGAAAGGCAACCACGAGTCGAACATGGAGTGAAATGTCCCTTTAAGCATCTGACTAGCTGTTAGCTAACATGCTTTTTACCTTGCGTTGCTGTTTCCTGTACAGATTATACTAACTATGGTGGTAAAGTCATGTAACTTTGTCCCCCACTTGTCACAGAAGGCCCACCTCTCAGTTCATCTGATTGGACGCTTTTTGGCTCTGATTTGAAGTTTTTCCAATGACTCCAAAGCAGCGAGCAAAACACTCAGCTGATAAAACACGCTCTGACTGACAAGGCCAAATGAATCATTTGCTTGCGTTAAAGGGGCTTCTTGGTTTATCTGATATTGTTTCCTAAGTGTGGAAGCACTTGGAAGCCTCTATGTGTCACATTTGATATCATGTGAATAATCTGTCTTTGTGTCTGCAGCCCTGAGAGCTGACGCTGACACAGCAGCCAGTGAGTCACAGATCTGCACAGCTTCCTCTCAGGATTCGGTAAAGGATTTAAACCCACAGAATTCTGAAGTGAACCTGAAACAGTGATCACACCTGATATGTGAATTTTGTCTTTGTTGCTGCTCAGGGTGACGGGGTTGAAGAGTTGACCTGTTGTGTTGAAGAAGCCTGTTTGACAGGTATCTGCACAGGTATCACACCTCAGTGGTGACTGAATAAACAGCAAAACAATGTGCCTGGCAGAACGTGTCATTACCATGGAACTTGACAGTCTTACCACAGTGTTGCTTTACACTGGGCCACACTGCCTGCATGAGCAGAGCTGCTCAGGCACAGCGTGGCTGATCTAGAGATTTGGAGTCACCTATTTTTTCCCATGTGACACGTGTGGTTTGCAGAAATAGACAGTGAAAATGATTCATTTGGACATCATACTGGCAACATTACACCTGTCACTACAGTTTCAGTATTTATATCAGTAGAGTAACTAACAGACATGTTTAACTCAACACTTAATTTCCATTTTAAATGAAAGCTTTTCAGCCTCTTATGTGGACAGAATCCCTTCATTTTTTTAACACAGCCTTTATTGTGGCTGTGTGAGACAGACTCAGTGTAGAGATACAAGGCTGGCAGGCAGCAGTGCCACAGCAGCAGTGCAGTCCATGTGAACATAGATTCCGTGAAGCAGCCGTCACGCGCTGCTCACACAGGCAGTGTGATCCAGTTGTTTGCATTGGGAGCAACATTATTTCTGATTACTGTCTTACCAGTGATTTGGCTTCTTTATTCCTTTGCTCTGCAGATCCAAACGAGCCAGGTGATGATGTCACAGTCAGCAGTGAAAGAGAAGAAAGTCTCAGCAGCATGACAGCAGAGGACATTCAGGCTCTGTGGCTGCAGCTCAGGGTGGGTACAGCACAGATGACTTTAATCTTAAGAGGCTGTTTAGAGGTGAACACCATCAGTTACTGTCAGTGCAGTGGGTATTCTCTGTCCCATATATCAACTCTGGTGGCTGAGCGAAAATCAGCAAAAAAAAATCCAGTGTCCACAGAAAAATTCTCCAAAAATGATTCTGTATTAATTTTAAACAAAAAATAGTACATTGCTCAAAAAGTATAAATTTAAGTCTTCATAAAGATTCTAAGAATAAACTAAGGATTCCTTAAAAATGAAAGCATGTTGTGTTGACGAGCTGCAGTGTGGCGTGTCCACGTGTTACATGATGCGCTGCTTGGCGACACTGGTGTGTTTTCAGCTTTAGCGAATTGGTTGTGTGTTCTGTTTCAGATTCAGTCAGCGACTGAAGATGAGACTGCTCTTCACCAAGATCCACCCACAGGTTTGTTGCTCATCTTCATTACTTGTATATCAGATTGGAAAGGTCTTCCTCTGGGATCTCTTTACATTCTTTATAGTATATTTTATATTTTAGGTGACAGTTCATTGAAAATGTGTTTGTGTGTGTTTGCAGCTCTGCCATCTGACACTGAGCCACAGGTCCACTCAGTTCCCTGTCAGCATTTGGTAATAAAAAAATCAGTCGACGTCATTCTAAAATGAAACGCATAAACATGACAGTACTGACGGATGATTCTGTCTTCATTGTTCTTCAGAGTGACCTGGATGAAGAGGTGACGTGTCTCGTTGGTCCGACAGACGTCAGCAGAGGTATCTGACCTGATGGACACAATAATGTGTGAGCTACGTGCGATGAATTAGACATAAATTAATTTCCAAATCAATATTTTATTGATGGCAGAAACAGATGATGAGTCTGAAGCTGAGACAGAGGACAGTGAGCAGCTGCTGAACACAGCCACCAGTCAGGAAGAGGTAACTGTTTGTATTCAGAGGCACAGATGAAGCCAGTGGGTGGTTACATTCATTCTAATGTCCACAGAGATGATGTCCAAATGTTTACAGATGCTTGTAAACCTAATGGATGTGTGGAGATAAACAGCATGTGTTTATCAGAGGCAGAGCTGTGGACTCGAGTCACATGATGTGGAATCAAGTCAGACTTGTACGTAACTCAAACTTAATTCAACATCGACAGCTGTCTACAAATACGTGTCTAAAGCCCTCCGTGTCAGCAGACGCACTAAATATCTTCCAGGGACACAAAACAAAACATACACACGTCAGCACCTCTGCTAGAGAAAATCTTTGAGGACACACACTTTATTTTATTTAGGCATAAAACATATAACAACATACATTATTAGTTAGAAAGAATAGTCTTCCAGAAAATGTCTTACAAATTCGGGAAGAGAAAGTTGCAGTGTTTTTTCTAATATAAGATGAGTTTACAACAACATTCACATGGTAGTGGTCAAAGGTTAAGGTCCCGATCACACAGGAAGTGTTTCAGCAGCTGGAGGTGCTTTGTGAAATAGTTTTTAATGAGAATGAAGCTTTTTTGCTTTTTCGTGTTGCTACAAGCCTCGTTTTTCTGCGCTCTGGGCACCTGGTGTTTTTGTCGCAGTGCTCTGAGCTCCTCGAGTTGAAAAAACTTCAGCTCAGAGCAGAAAAGCGCCTCACGTCCATTGGGATGATTTGAGAGGCGGGCCTTCTGTGGTCGTCACGACAACAAGTTTTAAATTGATTTTATTACTCTTGTCTAAGCTTACATTTGGTGACGAGGGCATTGTGACTTGTTTAGAACTCAATGCTCAAAGTTTAGGACTTGGAACTCACCTTGGGACTTGTTAGCCTCGACTCGGGACTTGAGTCAGGACCTGAGTGACCTACTTGTGACTGATGAGGTGTATTATGTAGCGGTAGACTCACTCACATATAAAGCAAAGCTGATGTTGGTTGTTTGTCAGTGCAAGTCGCCATTTTTCTTTCTTTGCCAGCTTCTCAACCTTTGTCATGGTGGCACAAGGGGACAACAAGGAGCCTGTTAGTGACAATCATACTGACATATCACCTTTCACCACAGTTTCCTGAATATATAAGTATTTCTTTTGAACTCAACACTTCGTGTTTTTGTCTCAGATTAAACACCCTCTGACCCTCTTGAGCCTCTTTGTTTGTAAAAGGCTTTTATTATGAAATATTTGCAGGAGCGGGTTGTTGACACTGCAGTGGCTTGCATGGCTCCATAGATGAGGAGTATCATCTTTTAGTTGTGAAAACACAGTAGATACAACAGCAGGCAGCTCTGTTAGTGTGAGCAATGCATGTGTGCGAGCTGCAGCAGTTCAGCGAGGCCGCCGTCATGCACTGCTCACGCAGGCAGTGTGGCCCGAGTGTAATAAGATCAAAACACACTCCCTGTCTACGGTTATAATTTGTTGATGATTTTACAGGATTTCAGTGATGGTATGCTCGAGGACAAAATGTCGTCTGCTGCTGACAGTTTTGGTGAGTGATGCTGTGAATACTTGATAATTATATCAGTTTGGGTCAAATACAACATTGTTAGCATGAAGCAGTCGTCACATACATCAAAGAAAATTACAGGGATCATCAGCTGCTCTCTGGTGTGAAGCACGACTCTGTTACCTGTGTGTGTTTCATTTACAGGATGTTGTGTATGCTCTGTGATGAGTTTCATGTGATGTTAAATAACTGTATTTTTGTTGTGTTTCAGAGGCGCAGCTCTCACAGAGAACTCATCTCTCTCTGATTATCAACGAAGGCTCTGCTGATCCGCGGCTGGCTGAGCGGCAGCCAGAGGAGTAACCACCTCCTGTTTCCTTTGTCTCCATCACACACATTTATCAACTGTTTGCTTTCAGTTCCAACAGGTTCAACTTCAGTGTTTCTTTCTTTACTGTTTGCTTCTACGCGCTCAGTGTGGTCTTGATTTATTGGATAGAGCCGGCAGCTCGTCTTCATCCTTTGGCCCAGCGGCTCATTTTGTCGTTGAAACACAAGCTTCTGGTGAAAAGTGTTTGTGCACAGTCACAGTTTGTGTCCATGTGTTGCTCTGTTGTTACACATGATCTGTTCTGTTAAAGTGCCACATAATTCTTTGAAAGTGCTGAATCTTTTGTTGAATATAAAACACAGATTAAAGTGGTTGATGTGAAACGCACAGTTTTCAGGACAGTTTTTGTATTTTGTGTGAATATATGCATGCGTTGAAGATATTTATGTTGGCACAATAAATATTACAGATCTTTAGAGATGAGTCGTGGTTTTCTTTCCTTCTTGCAGTGCAGATTAAAGGGATACTTAGGATTTTTTTTTAACGGGCTGTATGAGAAATTTACCTTTAGTCAATGTGTTACCTTCAGTAGATGGAGGTTGGCTCGCCCCAAGTTTGGAGAAGCAGAGAGGAGTACTGACACAGAAGCTAAGCAGCGTACTGCTGTGGATGGGGGCAGCAAAAATCTAACAGTTTAAGTGTATGCTGTATTGATATTTTCATTGATGTTTTTAGGCAGCTAAAATTTGTTTTGCTGCTGCCCCATTTGCTTAGCTTCCATCTTGGTACTCCAGCCTGCTTCTCCAAACTGGGAGTGTGTTGACTGACATCAACTGGAGGTAATGCACTTATAAAGATCCAAACTGTGTCTTTTAATTTTAAAAAATATATATAAAGTTACATCTGGGTGTATTTCCCTGTTGGCAGCTCTAGTTTGTGAAGAAATAAAATGTTACCTGGTATTTTTTCTGTGATGTGATAATTTAACAGCTGTTGCTTGTGGACTTTGTAGTTTTAGCCTTCGCACCAGTTTCTCCTCTCACAGCATTACAAGGTTTAAACTCAATTAACAAACATGGAAAATGAAGCCACACAAACCATTTGTATACAAACCAGGTTTATTAGATGTCTTATGGCAGGTTGGAGTCTGTAAATGTATAAAAGTAGACGGCTGTTACATGTCATTGACCCTGGATGAACAGTACTGTGAGTTAAGGCACATCTTAGTGTTTGAAAGTGTTTAATGATGCTGATCTGCTTCTGTAGCTGCCCTCTGTTGAATCAGGATGGATACATTTACTTTAAAATATCTTGGCTGGGTTAATACTTCATCTCAGATTAACCATGTCCATCCCCAGCCCAGCGTTTGGATCTGATTTATTCCATAATCACACTGCAATCACTGCAGAGCTCGTCTCCGAGACGTACGGTATTTATGCAAATTAACATCATCTCAGTTTATATACACTCAAAGATGAAAAAGATTTAAAGCATTTCTCTGAGAAATTGCCGGTAATGGTGAAGATTTCAACAACAGTGAAAAGAAGAAGTGCTCAGCAACATTCAGGCCTCATGAAACAAACACTGGAACACCGAGCGAGTGTTTATCTGTCACGAAAAACAGATGTGTCCTGCTGATGAGGTAGAGATGATCCTTGCTGTCTGGTACCACTCCAGATTGTTATCCTCAGTCTGTGTGAAATGCCAAGCAGGCCCGGCTTCACGTTTGGGGACTGTTCCACTGACTGACTCCCATGCATGAGGTGAAATCCTTCCGGCAGTCCCGGGTACATTCAGCAGTACGTGAGGCGGTTCAGATGGCAGACTGAAGCATAGTAACGTTAGTTCCTTGAATGAGGTTGTCATCCTGCCCGTCAATCAGAGGGTCCCACTGATCAAAGTTCTTATCCAGACCTGCAAAACACAGAATTCAGAATGTGTATTTGTGCTGAAAGTGTCGAACAAACTCCAAGATGAACCTGGGAGATCCTACAAATGACTGTTGGGGAATGTGAGCACTTTATTAGGGTGACAACACTGCTTGTGTCTGTTTTAATGCATGACTACTGCTCTGTTTACACCTAGCGTCCACACTACTCGTTTGGTGTACTACTACTCGTACACACTGATTGGCTGTTGAAACAGGTGACGTGCTTTAAAACCAGCCGCCGGCCATTTGACCAGCTGACTTGCAGGTGACACCATCAGCCGGTTTGAGTCAAGCTCAGACCGGCCAGTTCACACCGCTGCAACGTGTTTAATCAGTTTCATCTAGTCGTCAATCTTTGGTCTGAGCTGGACTATAGTACAAATGGAGATTATTTTGAACTCTATTAAAAAGCTCACGTGTGCAGAGATTGTTTCCGTTTTAAAATGAGAACACATCAGTGTGAGTGTGTCCTTATTCTCACCAAGGTGGCGCTGCAGAAAGGCTAGTGTTGCTTTGTTGGAGAGGTCTATGGCGATCTCGGGGTCGATCTCTCCCTTCAGCTTCATCAGCTTGCCGATCCAGTTGCCCGTCAGGAAGGTGAAGTCTGGGAAACTCTGGTGGACTGTTCCTCTGATGAAGGAAAACTTCACCACAAAATCAGGAAACAACAAGACTAAAACACCCGACCAGATTATAACCCAACGTCAGTCTGTTGTACCTGATGGTGATCATTTTCCTCTGAATGACCGCCGACTCCAGCTTGTTCATGCGGCTGATGTTTCCCGCCCACTGAAACTTCTCTGAGTTGATGAAGAATATCGGCTGCTTCACCCGAGGAAAGATCTCGTCATCTAAAGGGAACATCCAGGCGTCCAGCGCTACGCCACACCTGATGGGAGAGACGGTTTCCAGGGACGGTTATTGCAAAATACAAAGCGGATTACTTCAATATCTAACTTTAGCTTTACTTCACTATCTTGTTTTTATACGACTGTCATACTCTATGATTTAGCAGATTTCCATCTTCCTTGCTTGAGGACAGGTTGAAACTCATTTGTATCATTTAAAAAACATAATTCATATGTTTAATCATATCCCTGCTTCTCTGACACAAGGCGATGTGATAATAAATGCAACCCTGATGTAAACTGAATCCACGTACTTGAATTTAACCTCTTTGCACAGAGCTTCGATCACTGTTGCTCCTCCGAAGGAATGTCCCACCACTGCGATCCTGCACAGATCCATGGAGTTCTGTCAGGACATGAGAAAAACATGACCACTTAGAAGATCAGATTACACTTCTTTGTTAGGTTGGGATTCCTGCAGCTTAAAGAGACAACATTTTTTCCTAAATATATCATTATTATATCATTATAAAATAATGTGGGTTGCACAGGGTAGTGGCCACCGGAAAAACAGACTATCAGCGTTTACATAGGGTACTTAGTGGCTTTGCAATCTTTGTAATAAGCTTCTGCCACCGGTGCCGAAATTTCGTGGAAAAAAATCTGCTTTACGCGCCATGTATTGCGAAATTGGTCAGTCAGCCAATCAGGGACTGGAGCTGGTCCTTATGAGGAGTTGGGCATGAGATAGTTGAGTCACGAGCACAATGGCAGACGGACAAAGTTTGGAGACAAGTGAAAAACGGCCTAGCAAAAGAAAAGGAGCTCCTCTGTGTGAGGAGGCAAAGAAGAGCAAAAAGGAGAGTGATAAAAGAAGAGGAAAAACAAGAGTAAACCTCAGTCAGGCGTTCAAGAGATGGAGGGAGCTCCGTGACCAAAGAGGCTTCAGAACCCATGTCCAGCTAGCTTTCTTTCTAATGGATCGGTAAGAAACACGGCTAAATGTTAGCTAGACCAGAGAGGACTGTACTGTACTGGCTGCTAGTTCATTCCTAGCTGGCCAGCATCGCAAATCGCCGCAACCAGGGACCAGGTAGCGAGTGTTGGTCGGCTATTTGTTTTTTCTTCAGATAAATCTGATAATTGTTGCTCGGTCTCTTTACTCATTTATTTAGTATAGTGTCCACACACGTTCTCATTCTACATATATATAGAGGTATACTGGTGGCTTTACAGCCTACATTTTATTGATTATCTCGGTCAATTTGGTCGTTGCGACAGTGCGAGCAATGCCGCTGACGCTAGGTGGCGCCAAGCTAAAAAAAACCCGAATCCTATCTGTTGCCTTTTTAAGGCAACTTAGATTTAGGACTTTTTAAGTATTTTTTTAAGTGAAATTTAACACCAATTTTACAATAAACAAAACTGAAGAAGAAAACATGCCAAAAATCGACGTCACTTGCTTCGGACCTCCCAAATGTTAATTCTAACATTAAACATGTATTTGTGGTCATGTTAAAAAGTTAATGATTGATTTCAAATGCTGAAAAATTGTCAAACTAAATAGAAAACTCTTGTATCATAAAAGCTCCATTTGATTTGCCTTGAAGAAAAGATTTTTGGTTGGATGTGATGAACGTATGTGTGTGTTGTTGGTTCCGCTAACCTGATCTGTGTGACGTTATGTGAGAGACATTTAGTTAATTATTAAAAAAAATAGATATTACCAGTTATTTTGAGATTTTCCAATGTTAAGTCAGAGAAAAAATAAAGATATTATTTGGGCATTTTTTTGCCTTTAATCAATAGGAAAGTGATGTGTGAAGTGGGGAGAGAGAGGGAGTGACATGCAGCAAAGGGCCACAGGCTGGAATCGAACCCTGGCCGCTGCGGCAACAGCCTTGTACATGGGGCGCCTGCTCTATCCACTAAGTCATCGACATTTTAATACCAATTAAAGCCTTATTTTTAAATTTCCAATTCAATTAAATTCAACAGGCTTTATTAGCATGACATTTAACATATTGCCAAAGCACAAATACAATTAAAAGACAGTGAATAAAATTTACAGCATACTACACAAACAACAATAGTAGCGCAAAACAGGTCATTAAATTAGTGAGCAAAACTGAAAATATATATACAATACATATCATATGTCTGATATATGTTAACCTATAAACACATTTTATGTGTTTGTGTGTGAAAACAAAAAAGTACTACTGTCGACTCACGGCGTCTATTATCTAGTGTTTGTGGAGTTATGTGTTTTCACAGTTGCGTAAGGATTGTTATGATGTCATATTTCTTAAAGGAAGTTGGGTGTAATAATTTCCAGGAAATGTTGCTCTGTCTCCACCTGTGTCTCAGTGCCTTTCAAGACTTTTCAAGGATCTTTTCCAGTTTCTTTTTTCCCTTTGAATCTGTTGAAGACTTGCAAACTACTACAACGCATGAATGAATACTTCAACATAACGAATCTTATCTACTGTAATCAAGAACACTAAACCAACCCTACAGATGTTTGTATAAATTCCCGTTTTTGCCTGCTGACGTTCTCCGGCTTGTATAATCACCACTTTGTGTTCAGCTCATATTCTCACGGTGTGCAGCTGCTGCCTTGGTTTTCATTTCAAAAGAAAGAAACTCAAAGGTCATGAGTACGTTACCTCCAACGTCGTCCAGTCAAATGGTGTTTGCAA